CCATTGCGGCGCTGGGCACCGCTGGCGCCGCGTACGAGGCGCCGCCGCTGCAGGACGTGAGCGGCGAGTGGGTGGGCGTGCGCCATGGCGTGTCGCGCTGGGCGGCGGAGCCGGCGCGTGTGAGCGAGAGGGACAAGTTTGCGAGACTGACGGCCGAGGCGCAGACGGACGTGACGGTGCTGTACATACATGGCGGCGCAAACTACCTGATGGATCCCGTGTCGGCGCGGCCGGTCGCGCTGGCCTATGCAACACATGGCAAGTGTCGTGTGTTTTCCGTGCGGTACCGTCTCGCGCCGCAGGGTCCGTTTCCGTCGGCGTTGCTCGACGTTTTCGTCGCGTACCTGTCGCTACTGTACCCGCCGCCGGGGGCGTGGCACTCGCCCGTGTCCGCGTCGTCCCTCATTGTTACGGGCGACTCTGCCGGCGGCAACCTCAGCACGTCTCTCCTGCAGCTCCTTCTCCAGCTGCATCGCGCCGCCGGCGCCGGCGCCGCGTTACCGCCCACTGTGCGCTTCCACGGACGAGACGTGCCCGTGCCGCTGCCAGCGGGCGTGGGGCTCAACTCGCCGTCGCTCGACCTCACCCGGAGCATGCAGTGGTCCGAGTCGTTTCTGCAGTACGACTACCTGCCGCCGCCGCATCTCTCGCCCGTCACGTCGCCGCCGTGCGCCGTCTGGCCCGCCGACCCGCCGCGCGTGCACCTGTACTGCGAGGGCGGCGCGCTGGCGCACCCGCTCGTGTCGCCCATGGCGGCGGCGTCGTGGGAGGGCGCGCCGCCCGTCTTCTTCGTCTGCGGCGAGGAGCTGCTCGCCGACGAGGCCAAGACGGTGGCGTGCAGGATGGCGCGCCAGGGCGTGCCCGTCGTCTGGGAGCAGTGGGAGGCGATGCCGCACTGCTTCAGCATGCTGCTGACGTGGACCGAGGCGTCGAGGGTGTCGTACCGCGGCTGGGCGGATTTCGTGAGGGATGCGGTCCGCGGCGAGGTCCAGACAAAGGGGTGCTACGTCGAGGTCAAGACGCTCAAGAGGAGAGAGGTGGACGTCAAGACGCTGACAACCATAAGCGACGAGGATGTGCTAGAGGGCATGGCGGCTGGTCGTAAAAGAATAGAGGATAAATTTGCATATCTCTTGAAATAACGTACATTTAGTTGGAAAGTTTTAGTTGATCAAGACCGTACAACGAACGCAGCTACACATGTTTCATCGTTCAGGGTGGCCTGTGTACCATGAACACACAAAACATTATCCCTTAGTCAATTGTCCGCAGCGCTTTAAACCGAGCACTGGTACTCGGTATGCTGCCCATCATTGTTGTTGCTACGGATTAGACTTCCGGTGTGTGCTGACTGTTGTAGCCGCGTGAGATCTGCTGCAAATAGATGAGTCCGCCATGAGACAGAGGCTTGCTTGGCATTGTTACACGGCGATCATTCGCCAGGGCACCATGCAGGTACTGTACCAGCACTTGGCCTATGTATCCGCTTGCCGCCGTTGGGGACACGTGGAGTTAATTAATATATAAGATGTATTTCGCAGCTAACGAACCACTCCGTTTCAAGGAGAAGTCGATCTGCCGAGATGCCGGATCACCATTGTCAGTAACATTGATGGCTTCAATATTATTGCATACAGTGCATCCAACTGCATGACGAGTTGTAGAAAACAAGGTGAAGACTTGCGATGCGAATACGGTGGAGCAGCCAATTGCAGGCATCAATTTTCAACTTGGCATCTGCCCGTACACGTGCACCAGCCCCCAATTCAGGGCCGAGGGGCCCCTGGAGTTTCTGATCTCATCGCACTAGTTAATGAAACGCTCGTTTTTTTCTTCTGGTCTTGGACTGTGGTGAATACGATGCTGTGAGCAACTAGGCTGTTTCTGCCGATGATGTGCATAAATAGAATGTCGCCGCTAATAAAAGGAGAGGGTTTGGCCGTGTGCCAACTCAGCCAAGCCGGATTGTCAGAGCCGTATCAGTTGTGCTTTTGGTTCCCTCCAGCACCCGACCAGGCCTGTCAACAGGGATGGCTGCATCCGGCAACTCAAGTGACAGCGCTAGCTGGGAGGCCCGGGTCGGCGACGTCATGGACTCTGGGACAAAGTCGTGTAGGCATTCTCGAAAAGTGGCATTTGTAAAATTTGTAAAAGCAAGTTGGCAAGTTAATAAGATGCCTTCCTGCCTTCCTGGTCCTCTGTGGCTCGTAATTAAACTAATTACTGGTAAATTGGTACCTAATGCGGATTACGGCGCCACTGCTTAAGCTCGTATTAACCGCTTGGCAAAGGTTGCCGAATGAAAAAGATTGCCCATGTAAATGTAGAAGCATGCACGCAATAATTTTGTCGGGGGCAAATTGTCGCCAAGCTGCCTATAGATCGCCCAGACAAGACAAGACGGCAGCCACCCGACGGGCATGTATCGTCGACTCGCTCCATTGGCATCGACAACAACGTATCTTGAGGGAGCAGAGGAAACAGTGACGCCACGACGCGTGGACAATCAGAAAAAAATGGCTCCGCCTGTCAATCTGTTTCCCATACGAATTCTAACGTTAATAATAATAGCACAGCAGCCAAACATGCTTGAGCTAGCGGAAGCATGAAATCCACACAACAGCCTGGCCGGGGCGTTTGCGTGGTACGCCTACCTGTACGGATTTAATACGTACTAATTAATAGTACTCTTGAGCTATTCGACGCCAGTTGGCCAGTTTCTGGTAGCCCCAGTCTGGCCGAGCATCATGGGCGTGCGCATGCCTCTGAAATTTAGTGACTTGGATCTGTATAGCATTCCTTGGCGACATCAATGTACCTCTTCGGAATTGCGAAACTTGCTGTTGCTGCCAGACGGCCAGCCCGCTGTGTCCCGCACCAAATGCAGGTCAGGCCGGCGACGATTCGGCCGCAAAACCTCCTCACACACCACACGGTCGGCGAGTAATGATTCCTCTTCTTGCATACCTACCTACTACTGCATTTCTTGTAAACCTCGATTAATTACCCCAAGATCGCCCGTCTTCTTCATCTCTCCCTCCACGGCCGTCCATCTCAACCACATTCGCTTTCCGCCCTCGACGCGAGTCTGCCCTTTTTTTCATGCGCTGCCGTTCCTCGACTCATTCCAGTTCCTCAACCCTCCAGCGCATGACGTGAACCGGCCCGTCTTGTCTCCCCCACCACTGGTAGTCGCTCGCTTCCAATTTATCCCTGCCATTTCGGCCACGCGACCGACAATCACCGCCATCGTCCATCTCAACCCGATTGATAGAGGACTGCCCTCGCCATCCTTCAACTCACCATGAAGGCTTCAACCATTGCCCAGACACTTCTCGGGCTCTCGGCTACTGCCTCGGCCGCCCAGCTGAACCTCGACCTGACCAGCGAGAGTGCGTCGTCGCCCAAATTCAATCGCACTTTTTCCCATCCGTCTCTCGATGCTAACCACCACCTTGTGCTTCCATAGGCTCCATCAAAGACACCGCCAGCACCCTCGCCTATGGCTTGATGAAATATTACAACGGAAACCAGACCGGCGGCATCCCCGGTCTGTTGCCCGGACCATACTACTGTACGTTGCGATGCGCTCCCCAATCAACGGCATGCACGCTACTCCCAACAAGCACACCGCTAACAATTGATTGCCATCAGGGTGGGAGGCCGGTGGCATGTTTGGCCATCTAATTGATTACTGGTACTACACTGGAGATGCGTCGTACAATGCCGTTACAATGGAGGGCATGATGCATCAAATCACCCCCAAGGGCGACTTTCTTCCCGTCAATCAGACTAATGCCATGGGTAACGACGACCAGGGCTTCTGGGCCCTCACCTCAATGATGGCCGCCGAGGCCGTCTTCCCCAACCCTCCGTCCGACACGCCTCAATGGCTCGCCGGTGTTCAGGCCGTCTTCAACGAGTATGCTGTGCGTTGGGAGGAAGAAAACGGCCTCTGCGGCGGCGGATTGCGCTGGCAGGTGTACTCTTTCCTCAACGGTTGGGCGTACAAGAACAGTATTTCCAACGGTTGCTTCTTCAACATCGCCGCCCGTCTCGCTCGCTTCACTGGCAATGCCACTTACGGTGAATGGGCCCAGAGAATCTATGATTGGGAGGTCAAAGAGGGCCTCATCAGCGACGACTACATCATCTACGACGGAATCGAGGTCGACGATGCTACCAAGAGCTGCAAAAACATTCACAAGGTCCAGTTTACCTACAATGCCGGCGTCTGGCTCCAAGGCGCCGCCGCCATGTACGACTACAACAAGACCGACGTCTGGAAGGGCCATGTCAACGGCATCCTCAACTATACCGAAAGAACATTTTTCCAAAATGACATCATGTACGAACCTGCCTGCGAGACTGTCCACACCTGTGACCAAAACATGGTCAGCTTCAAGGGATACCTGATTCGCTTCCTTGCCGCCACTGCCAAGATGGCTCCTTGGACCGCCGACTCCATCACAAAGTTGATCAGCACTGCCGCCAAGGACGCCGTCAAGGTCTGCAATGGCGCCAACGGTCCCAAGTTTCCCGGCCCTGACGGTACGGGATGCGGCTTCTCCTGGCTCAACGGCACAAACGACGGCTTGATGGGTGTTGGCCCCCAAATGGATGCCCTTGCCGCCGTCTTTTATAACCTGCTTCCCAACGTCAAGGCCCCGGCTACGGAACAAGATCGTGGCACATCCAAGGGCGACGCCGGTGCGGGCAGCACGCAAGCCCAGCCGCTGCCGGAGCCCCGAGCCATTACCGGAGGCGACCGAGCCGGCGCCGCTATTCTCACGATTCTCATTGCCGCCGGCATCCTAGCTGGCAGCTTCTTTGTCACCAGCAATGTGCTTTCCTATGCATAAACGGCCGTATCACTCACTATTCCTCATTTGTTACTTTGGTTCTTTTTTTTTTTTTTTTCATCCTTGTCATGTTTGTTTGAATCCTTGGTAACTCGGCGATTGCAAAGTACTTGAACCACGCCATCTTTTGCTGCTCTGCTACGTTTTCCCCTGTACATAGTGTAAAAAAGAGTCAGAGGCAAGGAAACGGCGTTGAATAATCTTTTAGAGAGAGAGCTGCTGAGACGCGCTACAACGCGAGATATGGGATTATGTACACCATGGTTTAGGGTTTCTAGGTACAAGCTCGAATGACTATCAATTTTTCAAAGTCGGCGATGAGTTGGTCAACTCGTCACATGGGACGAATCTATGTTTCCACAGTGCTTCTCGATATCCCTCTGGCCGAAATTGCCCACGTCATTAGGGTCAGTTCATCCCGCTCACCCCGCCAAGCAAGCTGTGGCGGTTGTCAATAACCCCCACCTTGCCCCCAACTTGTCAATACTCAACGGCTGCGACTCCTCTTTCCAGCCTTGAGCTACATATATATTCATTCTCTTCCTGTATTCTATCAAAGCGAAAATCATCTATCCATTTTTCTGCATCTCACTCCCCACTCGCAACAAATCGCAACAGCTACCAGCCTGTACTAACTACACCTCCCAGTCATGTCATCCAGGCACTTCATCAACGACCCCACGCACCTCGTGGCCACGGCGCTGCGTAGCCTCACCTTCACGAACCCGCACGTCGCCTTCGACGCCGAGCACAAGATTGTGTACCGCCGCGCCTCTTCCTACGCCGCGCCGCCGCAAGTAGCCCTCGTTGCAGGCGGCGGCTCCGGCCATGAGCCCTCGTTTGCCGGCATGGTGGGGCCGGGCATGCTATCCGCCGCCGTCGCGGGCACGCTCTTTGCGAGCCCGTCGGCGGAGCAGGTGCGGCGGGCGCTGGCGTCGCGCGTCGACTCGGCGCGGGGCGTGGTGGTGGTGGTCATGAACTACACGGGCGACGTGCTCAACTTTGGCGTGGCGGTGGAAAAGGCGCGCGCGGCGGGCATCCCCGCGGAAATGGTCGTTGTCGGCGACGATGTCGGCGTGGGGCGGGCGCAGGCGGGCAAAGTAGGGCGGCGCGGCATCGCGGGGACGGTGCTGGTGCTCAAGATTGCGGGCGCGCTGGCGGCGAGGGGCGCGAAGCTGGAGGACGTGGCCAAGGTGGCGAGGCTGGCGGCGGAGAATATCGTCAGCGTCGGGGCCAGTCTGGAGCACGTCCACGTGCCGGGGCGCCGCGCAGAGGAGAAGGAGGAGGAAGAGGAGGGAGCGGCTGCAGGAGCGTCGGGTCTGGCTCTTGGAGAGGTTGAGATTGGCATGGGTATTCACAACGAGCCCGGGTGCGAAAAGGCGCGGCTCGCGCTGCCGCAGCTCGTGGCCAGGATGCTCGCGCAGCTGCTCGACGGCAGCGACAAGGACCGCGCGTTCCTGACGGTAAATTCGAACGAGGTGGTGCTGCTCATCAACAACCTCGGCGGCGTGAGCGTGCTCGAGATGGGCGGCATCACGGCCGAGGTCGTGGCGCAGCTGCGCGCCGCGTACGGCATCCGCCCCGTGCGCGTCATTGCGGGCACGTTCATGACGAGCCTCAACGGCATGGGCTTTAGCGTCTCGCTGCTCAACGTGGTCAACACGAGCATCGAGGGCGCGGCGCCCAACATGGTCGAGCTGCTGGACGCGCCGAGCGAGGTCACGGGCTGGTCGGCCCCGATTCAAAAGACGACGTGGGAGGCGGCGGCCGGGCGCGGCGGCGAGGAGACGGAAAGGGAAGAGGAGACGGCGAAGGAGCAGGCGCAGGATGTGAAGCTCAGTGGGTTGAAGCATGACCCGTCGGTAGCCAAGAAGGCGCTTACGGCGGCGCTCAAGAATGTCATTGCTGCGGAGCCGGATGTGACGAGATATGATACCGTCGTTGGAGACGGTGACTGCGGTATCGGTCTGAAGCGAGGCGCCGAGGGTACGTGCTGCTCAGCCACTCACTGTTACCAAATACACTGACAAGAGGACCAGCCATTCTGAAACACCTTGATCAGCACCCTTTTACGGGCGACCTCGTCGTCGACGTTGCCAGCATCGTCCCCGTCGTGGAAAACACCATGGACGGCACCTCGGGCGCGCTCTACGCCATCTTCCTCAACGCCCTCGTCTACGCGCTGCGCACGCGCTCGCCCGGCGAGGCCTCGCCGCAGCTCTGGGCCGCCGCGCTGCAGCAGAGCGTCGACGCGCTGTCGCAGTACACGCCGGCCCGGCCCGGTGACCGCACGCTCATCGACGCGCTGTCCCCGTTTGTCGAGACGCTGGCGCGCTCGGGCGACGTCGGGCAGGCCGCGCGGGCATCGCGCGCGGCGGCCGACGCGACAAAGGGCATGAAGGCGAGCCTGGGCCGCTCCGTGTACGTGGGCGGCAGCGGCTACGAGGAGGTGCCGGATCCAGGCGCCTGGGGTCTGGCGTGCTTCTTCCAGGGTCTGGCGGGCAACTAGACGCAAAGCTGTTCTGGGATGTCACTGTGGAAATGGTCGGATCGTAGATATATAGCAGATGGATGGATGGAAGTCGTAATCAAGATTGTATTTTGTAACGCCTAAATTGTCCTGTGAGTCTCGTCAAAAAGGACGGGTACATGGAACCAACCAGATCCCATCCCAATTCTCAAGGGATAAAATCAACATTAAAGCCCCACGCGGTATAGAAGAACCCCGAAAATACAAAGTAAAATGCCAATTCATAATTTTTTGTTTCCACTCTAGCTCAGCAGCACGAGGATGACGCTATCACCTCTCAAGAACCTAGATCACGCAACACAAGAACCCACGTTAGCAATCCAGACACACGTGAGGGGGGAGGGTTGGGCAGGCGGGCAGGCGGGCAGGCGGGCAGGCGGGCAGGCGGGCAGGCAAACGCACATCTTGCTAATGAAGCGGTCCTTGTTGACGGGGCGGCCCTTTTTGCCGTCGGCCAGCCGCGGCGTCTCTGTCCACATCTCCTTGACGTTCTCGAGGACCATGTTGCAGTGGCGGTCAAAGGCCTTGACGCGGGCGAGCAGCTTGCGGTTGTTGCGGATGGAGATGAGGACCTGAACGTGCGAGCGCACGGCGGTCTGGAGGATGGAGAGGGGGCCGGCGGAGAATTCATGCTCTTCGAGCTGCGCGATTTCGTATTCCCTGTTGGATTAGGCAGTGGTTAGCTTGAGGGAATGATCGTTCGTCAGAGAGGAATGGCGGGTTTCGCGTACGTGAGCTCGTTGCGCGGCTTGGTGAGGAGCTCCCTAGAGAAGACGAATTAGCAGAGACACGCCATAAAAAGAGGTAACTCTGGTTCCTGAAAGTAACGTACTCGATGGGCTTGTTGTCCGCCATGGTAATGTGTTGGTGCGGGGGGGGCTGGTTGTAGAAAATGCGAATTACTTCGAGACGTCTAGACGTAGCTTTTGGTGGTGGTGCCTCTGCCAATATGAAAACTCACAGATTTGGGTACGCGGGCAGTCAAAGCATCTGATTGGTTGACGTTTGAACTGAAGATGGCTCCACCAGCTCCCAGCTAACCAGAAAAGAGCACCCGCTATTTACGTCGGTTCAAGGCCAGCAAATCCTGGGCAATACGGCAAGCCTCTGCTACCCTCGGGCTAATTTTTCTGGTGGAGAGCAGTAGCAAACATTCAAGCCTGCGCGGAGAAGAGGAAGAGCAGCATCTGCAGAAAAGGATACCGGAACGTCTGATCTTGCCGTTGCCCACGGACGGTTTATCCTCTCCAACCTCGGCCGACCTTTTTAGCCCGGCTGACACGCAAGCACGCAACGCCCGATAAAGGAGGGGACTGCTCGCCTTCTCGATTAGGTTTTGGTTTCTCCCTCTTCCGTCATGTCTTTCCGATCGATTGCTCTCCGTGCCGGAAGAGCTGCCTACTCATCGACACAAACCACAACACTCGCCATGGCGCAACGAGCGCGATCCGCCCCCTTCGGGGCCAGACAGGTACGCATACACCATCGTTATGTTCGTCAAGTTTTCGACTTGCTGACCGTCCGCCAGCTCTCGACCGAAGCCCAGTCGATCAAGGAGCTGCCCGGGGACGAAGTCGACGACGTCGTGTTCCAGAACAAGTACGGCCTGCGGACGATTCTGCTCAACCGCCCCAAGAAGCTCAACTCGCTCAACGGGTCCATGGTGCGCAAGATTGTGCCGCGCATGGTGGAGTGGGAAAAGTCGGACATGGCCAACGTGGTGGTGATGAAGGGCGCGGGCGAAAAGGCGCTCTGCGCCGGTGGCGACGTCGCGGCGCTCGCGCAGTGGAACCAGGAGAGCGCCGACGGCTGGAAGCGGTCGGCCGACTACTTTGCGCTGGAATACAAGCTCGATCACTACATTGCGACGTACCAGAAGCCGTACATTGCCTTTATGGACGGCATCACCATGGGCGGCGGCGTGGGGCTCAGCATCCACGCGCCGTTTCGCATCGCCACGGAAAAGACGGTGTTTGCCATGCCCGAGACGACGATTGGCTTCTTCCCCGACGTGGGCGCGTCGTTTTTCCTGCCGCGCATGAACGGCTCCGTGGGCACGTACCTGGCCCTCACGAGCGACCGGCTGACGGGCGCCAACGTGTTTTACAGCGGCATCGCGACGCACTACCTGCACTCGTCGAGCCTGCCGGACCTGGAGGCGCGGCTGGCGGAGCTGCGCTTCCGCGACGACGACGGGCTGCCGCAGCGGCTGCAGCTCATCAACGAGACGCTCGAGGAGTTTGCGACGGGCCTGCCGCACGACCAGCCCATGGCGCTGGCGGGCGAGACGCGCCGCGCCATTGACCGCTGCTTCGACAAGAACACGCTCGGCGACATCATGGCGGCGCTGCGCGAGGAAAAGGGCGAAACGGAGGAGTGGGCGAAGAAGCAGCTGGCGACGCTGGAGAAGCGCTCGCCGACGGCGGTGCATGTGACGCTGCGGCAGATGCGCGTCGGCGGACGCTGGGACATTGCCGAGGCGTTTGAGCGCGAGCACCAGATTGCGTCCAAGTTTATGCGGCACCCCGACTTTTCCGAGGGCGTCCTCGCGCTGCTCGTCCGCAAGGAGACGCCCGTCTGGCAGCCCCCTTCGCTCGACGCCATCCCCGCGAGCGAAAACGTTGCGCAGCCATTCTTTGACTTTGACGAGAAGCAGACGCTCGGCCTCTTCTCGGACCGCACCTACAGCGACTACCCGCATCCGCTGCTGGGCGTGCCGTCGGAGCGCGAGATGAAGGGCATCGTGCAGGGCAAGACGCTGACGCCGCGGCAGCTCGCGGACAAGGTGGTGGCGTCGCGCAACGGGCGCCAGGGCATCGCGACGATTGTGGATGAGATTATCGACCGCAAGGTTGTTGCGGATGGCAGGGGCGTGGCCAAGTGGGTGGAGAGTGAGTCGAGTTCGTCGAGCAAGTTGTAAAGGGGAGGATGGGCAAAGAGGGGGATTCGTGAAGATGCCCGCGTGTATACTAGCGTTAAGAGACCATCTTGACTATATATATTCAGGCTGTGGGTGCTTGTTAAACACTTCCATAAAGTATATCTGTGAAGTGCGGTGCGATGTATTTATAGAGTCCCTTCTAACTAGTCCGTGAATCGGCGTCTCTTTCCGTACCGTTCTTGTTTTTAGCTTGAGCGTTGGCCCAAGACCTCGAATACGCTCTATCGAACATTGCAGAGTACTTTCAGTGTAAATGCACTTCTCGTCGCATGCAAGGTTCTGTACGACCAGCGGCGCTTGTATTGACCAACAGCGTGCTAACGTTGGGCAAACGAGGATAGTTTTACAATAGCGTAAAAAAGGCCGGCATTTAGTCACACGGCATGTGTAAAATGCACTTAGTTTCTCGAAATGGTGAACGTCGTCATGCAGATGCAACTCTTATTGAATGCAGCATTATGCATTTGAGGCAGCTTGCAGGAACAGCGCCAACAAATACAAGCACGGCCATAGGTGGCGACTCCTGGCATGGAATAGATTGCGAAGTAAACGCCCGTGACATTCATCTGGAAAAAGATTCATCATCGTTTTTGGAGATATTATCTGATTAATTATTAAAGTAGATGACAATGGCATCGCAGTAAATGTCGTCTGTTGAGGATAGTCTGGGGTGGGAAGACGGCTTGGTGTCAACACCATGAAAATAATCATCGCTGTAAAAAATGGCGCAGAATAGGCTTCTACATTGCCATACGGGGTGCTACGGCGAGTGCTAAGAAAATATGGGCGCTAGAGGTGGGCGATGGTGCGCCGTGTGTGATGGAGGGTGGGAGAGGGGTAGAGGAAAACGAGAGGTGCAAGGTGCGAGCGAAGAGGGAAAAGGGTGTGGATGGCCTCAGCGGTGGATGTGATGATGAAACAGGACGGTGATTGCTGGTGGGAGGCAACTCAGGCAAGGCAGAAGGGGGGCGTTAATGAAAAGCATGACAGCCTCGTGCAAAGAAGAGAAGAACGAGTCACGGGCTGGCGATGGCATCGTCCAACAAAAAGGTGTAGATGGGACAGGCTTCGGGAAAAGTATAAGAGGCGAGAGCCCCCCCGAAAAACCGCAGCAAAGGATGGAATTGACTCGCCTCCTTCAAGGAACGAAATCGAGACCAGAACTGGACCTCGAAAGAAAGAAAAGAGGGAAGGGAAATTCGTTGCAGTGTGTGTGCCCGAGAACAAGAAGACGCCACCGAGACTGGGTTGAAGAAAGGACGACGACCCAAGATTACGAAAGCAAAAAAAAAACAAAAGGAAAAGGATTCCAGGCAGAAAGGCTGGAGAGACAAGGCAGCAAGGCAAGGCAGCAGACAAACTGACAAGGGACGGACGGACGGAACTTGTGCGGCCGTGTCATGTCAGTGTCAGTGTCAGTGTCAGGTTACTGAGGTTACTTTGAGGTATGTGCTTTGATTGCGAGGGAACGAAATGGCAGCTGCAGGCCAGCCGGAGCGGGAGAGCCGACCAGGGGGGCGAGCAAAGAGACAAGCCAGCTTTTTGGTGTGATACCTTTTTTGCTTGCTTGTTCTTGTCCCTGTTCTTGTTGGCCTTGCGCGCGTCCATCAGCGTCCGGAGGGGGGAAGAGAGACTGGCTCCACAAAATGTACAACACGCTAATGGTCAGCCAGGTCCCTGCATGTCACTCTACTGGCGAATTCTGCGTTAAAAGATACCTACTTTCTGCACTCGCGCGTTGCCTTTTTTTTCTCCCCCCCCCCCCTTGCCGCCCTGGGACCTTGGACCCAACCGGCCCCGTACAAGCTTCACCAGCCAACCAAGTGGCACAGCTCCTTGTCACTTTGCTTCCTTTGTCCTAGCCCGCGGATGAGCACGTCACCACTCATCCTCACCGAGCCAAAAGTTGCAAGTGCAAACACGGCCTCGTCGGCTTATTTACATTGTGTTTCTAATTGAGTGTGCTGCTGCCAATTACCGCTGCTACCTACTCCCCTCAAACGCTGCGTTGCCAGCACCAGCCACACCAAGTCGTGGCTCACTACCTACCGTACTCTTCAGCAGCTCTTTAGCGGTGCTGTAACTAGCGCCGCGAGCCAATGAAACGGGCCGCTGGACGCCCCAGCACACCATCAGTTGTCTGCTTCATCCAAAACAATCTTCTTCACCAGCAACAATCATTTCTATCCTAAACCTTCCTTGTCTCTTCTTCCTTTACTTGTCTCGCACTCGTCATCTTTTGTGTTTGACCATTGCAGTTATTCCATCCTCTTCTTCCGATATCAACCCCTGCCAAAACGGCTGTATAGCGGCCTGATCCACTTTGCGGACGCGACTGGCGAACCCGTCTTGCTTCGGCGCGTCACGTACATGGCGCCCGCCTCCCCAATTTGACCGGGGAACCACTCTTACCATTTCAATTCTCGCCAGTTCTGTCAATCAATCAACCTCTTCCATTCGCAACCGCCTTGACACCTCGACAACCACCACCCGCCGCCCTCTTCCATCTTCGCCCACCGTCAGCCGCGTCGCTCGCCGACCTATTCGAACCAACACCCGGATTTCCACCCATCAGTCCATTTTGCCGCTGTTTGCCGTCTTCCACGAGCTTCAGCGGCCATGGCCTCGCCGCTGCCTGCATCTGCCATGGGCTCTGGATGGAATGGCAACGCTCACCCTCAGCAAATGCCTCTCTCCGAACCCGACAGCAACGGCGTTCAGGTCCGGCCCATGGGTTGTACGTCGTCCACTCGCCAGCTTTCCCTCCAGCAGCTCCCTCGATGCTAACATGCGGCCTGCAGTGAAAGTCCATTACACCTTTGACAAGGAATCCAAAGTCAATTGTCTAGCACGATATCCTCATACCGTCCAAGTCCAGACCATCGCTCTTGATGAAGCCACAACTATCGGCGTCGTCGACCTCCGTGTCTGTATTCAGGCCGTCTCCGAATGCAGCCCCGAACTTGCCGGCCAGGACTGCGACTACACAATTTACGCCGTTGACTACTCGGAACCCGATACGCCTGTGGTCGGCCAGGGGATGCTCTCATGGGCTCTCGACTCCCTCGTTCGCGGCGACATGCCCGGGCAGCAGCCCAAGCTCGTCACCGGACGCGTCACCAAAAATCTCTTCGCTGTCTTCAGCGGCGGCAACAAGGAAACGCTCGAGGTCAGGCTGCGTCTATCTGGCTCCGCCAAGCCTCAATGGCAAACAGACAGCTTCGATTTGGCCATGACGCCGGCCGGCGCCGCCGAATGGAATTCCTTCATCCAGTCCAACCCACAGCTTGGCCAGCCACATCACGTGTCGAGAGTAGCTTCGCCAGCCATGTCGCAAGGTCCTCCCGCTACAATGCAGAACAGTGCCAATGATGTTCAGCGTATTGCTCCGATTCCCGTCGACCCAAACACTGTCCCTGATAACCAAGGCGGGTCATCACGCCCTTCCAGCCGAGCTTCCAACAGAGCACCGCGAAAACGAAAGCCAACTGGCCGCCCGCGTGGACGCCCAAGAAAGAACCCTGTGGAGGGTAACACGTCCGGGTACGAGGATTGCACCGAGGGAGAGGAAGGCCCGGCTAAGAAGCGCGCCAAATCAACCAAGGTCGACAAGCCCAACCCGTTTGCAGGCGGTTCAGAGTCTTTACGCGTTGCTGCCAGCACCTCTGGCTCATTACGAAGCTTCCGCCCTGTCGCCACCAATAGCGAAGCTGCTGTAGGCAGTCATCTTCAAGAAGTGCCACGCGCTCCTACTCCGGTGCCCAATGCTCCGGTGTTCCCTGGTCGCGTCTCCAAGATACGGCGTGAGTCAACTCTGGGACAGAATTCTTTGAGCTATACTACTTCTGCGGAGTCTGATGCAAGAACTCCATTCTCTCCCCAGGATGATGATCGCTCGCCAGAATCTCTTGCTCCTACTCCCGCTTTTTCAGAAGATAGTCCGCCCGATATCGGCTCCTCGCCACCAGTGCAACGCGCAACGCCCTTTCTTCGATCTAGTCCTCCCCCTTCCAGTCCCGTCTTACCGCCCATGCCACGCTCCAAAATGCCGCACGATACCAGCTTCATGTCAGATAATATGGATTTCTGTGGCGACGAATCTCTTCCACCCCCTCGGCAAGAGCTGCATACCGTCAAAGCTCCTCCGCGGGTACGCAAAGGAAAAGTAGAGACAAAGAGCGCCAGGAGTGTTCCGGTTCAGGTCTATCAAATACAGGATGGACCTCAGGGTCAAGATCTGGTGCATATTCGCAGCTATAACACGCCATACCCAGACACAGCGCAGCAACAAGGGCCTCGAACACAGAAGCAACCAGCACAGCATACGCAACCTGAGCTACCACCGCTGAAGCAGTCAGCACCGCAACAGTCTACCTTGAGTGTCCCGATTAAGAAGGACAGTGCACTCTCGCCACCGGGCATGGCTCCAACACCGCCTCCCACAACAGACGCTGCCGAGAAGCCTCCTACGCCCTTGCCAGACTTGCCCGAAACGCCTGTGGAGGCCAAGGAGATCAGAAGAATTGCCCCAGAGCCAGTTGCTCAGCCTACAGCCAATGATAGGCGGAGACCATCATCACAACCACCTGCTTCCACAACACCAGTCCTCAAGCCCAAGAAGCCCTTGGCTCGCTCCAACTCTACTGGTCCGCTCATGCTGCCCAAGATTCCCGCGAGTGAGCCTGCTGGCCCGTCGGTCCTCACGCAAGCAATGGTTGCTGACAATGAACAAGCAATGGTCACTGGCGAGAACCAAGCTTTGATCACTGACAAAGAGCAAGCAATGGTCCCTGACTACGAAATTGCACAGTTCCAATTGCCCGATTCTGGGCGCGGCAACTCGATCGGAGCTGTGGATATGGTACCAGCCAGCGATCCCCCCGCTCCCGCCGCCCGAACAAGCAAGATGGGTCAACACGAGGCTGTCATACCGCCCAGTGAGCCCATTCAGCCTCAACCTTCGTCACCTGGCAACAGGTCGAACAAGAATTCCGTCAAAAAGCATGCCATCAAGCAGCGTTTGGAGGACGCCATCATGAATGGTACGATGCCTCCTTTCTGCAGCAATTGTGGGGCCATCGAGACGCCTACATGGCGCAAGATTTGGGTTCAGGATCGCGAAGGCGTTCCCGAGTATGCTGAATACTCGGAAAAGCCTGGTCGAATTACTGCCATTGAAATTCTGCAGCGTGATGAGAACGCCAACCCAATCCAGCATCGCGTCATCAAGAAGGGTCTCGGCCCTATGGACGACAAGGCCAGCTGGCAAGAGCTCCTTCTCTGCAATCCTTGTGGTATCTGGTTGACAAAGTGTAAAACCCACCGTCCTCGTGAGCGTTGGGACAAGGATGCCTCTCGTCTAGGCCTAGAGCGTCGCAGGAAAGGCGCTGGCCGTTCCAAGAAGAGTCGAGCCAAGGCGGATGGTGTGCCAAATCCCACATCGGAGGCCTATCTCAACACAGATGCCATGGGCCCGCCTGAGCCTTCCTCGCCAAAGTATGGCCCTAGCGGCATTTCAACTGCTGCCATCGAGGGTTTGATCGCGGCCACTCAGGGCGACTCATTCGCTACTGACGATTGCGCCATGGAAACACAATCCATCCCTGGATCAACACACTCTGCTGCTAGTGGTGATGGCACGGCCAAGAGCCCAATTGATGTTGAGCTGGATCAGGCCATGGGCACAACAAAGCGACTTCTCTTCCCCTCACCGACAAAACCGGGCACGCCCAAGGTCCTTGGTACTGTTGATGTTAATATTGTCACTACCGATGACATGTGTCGCCAGAACAAGGGCATCGGCAGCGAAAAGGAGAATATGCCAGTCATGACTCAGGAGGGTCTTGTTGAATGTGACGACCCCGAGGCGCTCTTTCGCAGCCCTCTAATTGCCCGACCAAGCACACCTCAGAATGCCAAGGCTTCTGTTGCCGCTGAGCCCTTCAAGACGCCTACTCGGGCGACACCTAGCCATCGACCAGTCACCAGGAGCGTTTCCAGATCTCTGCGTACCGTGCGATCTGTCTCCTCGCCAAGTCAGCTCGCTCGGATGCAGGCCACCCCAACCAAGACGCCGCATTCGATTCGCAGCGGCCAGGCAAGTCAGGCAGGTCTAGCTCGCAGACGCAGCCCTCGAAACCACCAAAACGACTTTGATCCCTTCGATACGCCAATTTCGAGATCAATTAACCAGCTGCTGTCAGAACCAAACCACTTCTCCCTCGACAGCGAGCTAGATCTCGGACATTTGTCCGCTTTGGAGAGCAGCCACGATGCGCTGTTGGATTTTGGCAATCTTCTTAGCACGGACGGAATCATGCCGAGCTCGCCCCCTAGAAATGGGTCGGTCTCGTTTGATTACGACGCTTCTTGGGCGTCATGGAGCATGGACGCCCCAAATCATGGGGAGAATGAGTAGATAGCTGAGTTGCTTTGAATATTTTCTGCTACAGGCGCATCGTGAGCTGGCATTTTGGCTTTATTTGCTTTGAATACGGAGTTGAGAGGCATGGCGTTTGATAGCGAAAGGCTTTGCTTTAAGGATAGGATTGCTCAGCCCAGAGATTAGGCTCGACTTCGGATACAGCGGTTTAGAAACACGTTGCATATTTTTGTTTGAAGGAGTTGTATATTTTACCAACTCGAATTTTGAACTTGAAGCTTTCAAATTCCGTGCATTGTACGTCAAGTGCATGTTGTTAGCGTGATCTGCATGGAGGCATAGGCCAGGTCAAGGCGGGGTTTCAATTAACGCGGGCTACCCCAACGCGTCTCGTCGCGTCTCCCACCCCACTCTGAACTTTTGTGAATTCGCAAGATTCTACACAAAACCTCGAGCAACGTGAATTGGGCATTTCTCTAGCAGGCGATAAGACGACTGATCGACTACGGCAATATTCAGCAGCAAGAGTCCCCAAGATCCGAACCGACCACGTCAAACACTCCTCCTCCTCCCCCCCCCCCTCCGCCCGCCATGGCCGACACGGAGCTGCAGCGGCGCTTCTCGCCCCGCGCGCCCATGGAGGCCGACATCGCGGCCGAGCTGCAGTCGATGATGCGCCTACACAGCATCTCGGCCGAGGACCTCTTTTACAAGTGGGAGTCGTACTGCATCAAGATGGACCTCGACGCCGGCGACGCCCTGACGCTGGCCCACGTGCGGAATCTCAAGCAGAATATGTTGGACGCGCTGGCCAAGTCGGCGGCGGCGGCCGATGTTGGGTCTGCTGTGAAGCCCAAGGCGGAGAGAAAAATTGCGGGAACGCCGAGAGGTGGTGGTGGTGGCGGTGGTGACATGTATGGCATGCTGGACGGGTTGATGCCGAGCACGCCGGCGTCGTCGGGCAAGAGGTTGAATAGAGGAGCGGCGCCTACGCCTGGGACCAGTGCCGGAGGGAGCACACTGCGTAGGAGGATGGAAATGTCCAAGATTTCGAGCTCGCCGGCCGGCGGCATGGGTGAGCAGCTGGCGGAGATGCACGGATCAGCGTGAGTCTTTCATCATGCAACACTAACAATTTCTCTCTAATGTTTTCGGCCTCGACAGCCCAGCTAGCTCGTTCAACGACCGGCCCAACCCCGGCGAGGTGGTCGAGGTCCTCAACGGCCAGCTCGCGTCGGCCTCGCCGCCTCCCGCGCCGTACCCCGAGCCGCGCGTTAAGCTAACGGCCGCGTCGGACCAGAAGAAGATGGGCTACAAACCGCTGGCGATGAAGCTGTCCGAGGCGAGCGAGATTCTTGACGACCGCATCGACGACCTGGCGGCGCTCGTGCAGCGGCACCACTCCCTCGACGACACCGCCCTGGGCAACGCCGCGCGCCAGGGCACCACCGACATTGTCGCCGTCGGGCGCGTCGCGTCCGACAGCCCCGAAGGTCGCCTCAACGCGGCGAGCCTGGTGCTCGAGACGTCGCGCCGCACGGGCATGGGCTTCCGCGTGCCGCTGCGCATGGACGCCATCCCCGCGTGGAGCGTGTTTCCGGGCCAGATTGTGGCGCTGCGAGGGAGCAACGCCACGGGGGACGAGTTTGTGGTCAAGGAGGTGCTGGCGATACCGCTGCTGCCAAACGCGGCATCGACGGGTAGCGCGCTGGCCGCGCACGAGGAGCGCATGCGCGTGCGAGATCCGGATGCGATGATGGATGAGGACGACGAGAAGCCGGCGCCGCCGCTGAGCATGCTGTACGCGGCGGGGCCGTACACGGCGGACGACAACCTGGATTTTGAGCCACTACATGCGCTGTGCGCGGAGGCGGCGGACACGTACGCCGACGTGCTGGTGCTGACGGGTCCGTTTCTCGACGTGGACCACCCGCTCGTCGCCACCGGCGACTTTGACCTCCCCGACGAGGCGCTCGGCGGTAGCAGCGGCGACGCAGACACGGCGACCATGACGACAGTCTTTCGGTACCTCGTCGCACCGGCCCTCGCGCGCCTCGTCGCCGCCCACCCCTCCGTCACGGTGATTCTGGTGCCGTCGGTGCGCGACGTGCTCGACAAGCACGTCTCCTGGCCGCAAGACACCATCCCCCGGCGCGAGCTCGGCCTGCCGCGCTCCGTCCGCATCGTCTCCAACCCCATGACGCTGTCCATCAACGAGCTCGTCCTCGGCGTCTCCAGCCAAGACGCGCTCTGGGAGCTGCGCGCCGAGGAGCTCAGCAAGGTGGGCGCGGCGCTGTCGTCGGGCGGCGGCGGCGGCGACCTGATGGCGCGGCTGTGCAGGCACCTGGTCGAGCAGCGCCATTTTCACCCCGTGTACCCGCCGACGGATCGCGCGCGGCTGCCGCGAACGGGCACGGCCGAGGGCACGGCTACGGGCGCGGTCCTGGACGTGAGCTATCTGAAGCTGGGCGAAATGGTCAATGTGCGTCCGGATGTGCTGCTGACGCCGAGCGCGCTGCCGCCGTTTGCCAAGGTACGTTGGATGACAGACTACGCTCTGTCGGGAGATTTGCATTGCTGTGTGAGTATCTGTGTGTGTGTGTAAATGCTGACGCGTGTGATCCCCGGAATTTAGGTCGTGGAGAGCGTGCTGGCGATTAACCCGGGATACCTGTCCAAACGCCGCGGCGCAGGCACGTATGCGCGCATGACGCTGCACCCGCCCAAGATTGAAGGCGACGGTCTGCAAGGACATCGCGTCTTTGAGCGGGCCAAGGTGGAAATCGTACGCATATGAAGACGAAAAAAAAAAAAAAGAAACGAGGCATTTGGGAGGAGGGAAAGAGGAGCTCCGGGCGTGTGTGCATTTCGTTTTGGGCTTTTGGACGGCAGCATTGGGTATATTGAATTTAGATTCTTGCTAGGTGTTTTGTTCTGCCTTTTTCATAAAGTGTAGGAATTTCGTACACCTTTGTTATATTTTCGCATTGTATCTTTTGATTTTTTGCAAGTAAACGCTCAGTGAAATAAGACAATGACATGATTTGGGGTAAAAAAATACACGCAGGACAAGACTACCGGTCTGCTTCCACTCTTCGTCGCTTGTCCTCGCCACGTTCCCGCGACGAGCTCCTCTTCCTCACAATCCCCTCCCGATCCTCGCCCCTCCTCGGCGACCGCGACCTCGAGCGTCTTCTCCTGTCGTCTCCTCGCCTCTCCCCGAGCGGCATCGCATTCGCTCCCTTTCCGCCCGGCCTCTCATCCGGCCTGAAGCGCTCATCCTCCTCCTCCCACCGGCCGCCGCCGCCCCTCCTCCCACCGCCACTACCACTACCACCACCACCACCAACACCAACACCAACACCCCAAGACCCCGTGTCCTCGGTCCGCATGTCCTTGTATCTGGTCGCGCCCTTGCGCCCGAGCTTCGTCATGTCGCGCCGCTGCAGGTACTCGGGCAGAGCCTCCCGATTGCGCACGTCGTCGGCGATGCGCGCCCCCATCAGGTCGCGCTGCAGCAAGCCCGCCGCCTCGGCCTCATCCCGAAAAAAGGCGCCCTTGTGGAAATACTTTTGCATGTAGGCCATTGTGCCGCGGCCGTCCTTTTCGCGCCGCTGGGACTCGAGGTACGCGGCGTCTTCGGCGGCGCGCTCCTCGGCCGTCAGGTGGCGGCGGCGCTCGACCTCGGCGAGCTCTGCCTCGCGGGCCTCAATGGC